CAGTTTCAGCGCAAAGCATAATCATATGTTTCGAGAGGCCATTCGATCAAGTCAAAATGCCATTTCATATTTTGCGAAAAAATATGACAAGAGCAGACAAAGTTTCTGCTGATAAGAAAGTCGGTAAGAAAAAAACAATGAGTATAGTATATAATGAAGTAAACCAGCTTCTCCCTGAAATCACAGATGTGAATCTGCATCAAAAACTTAGCATAAAATTCAACCCGAGACTTGTAAGTCGACCAAAGAAGAAACTAAACGATACATTTTATCTCAAATAGATTTCCTTGCTAGCGACCTTATCTCAAATAACCATCAGCAACCTATTATTTATATAAATCCTTGGTTCACCTTTTTGGAAAATTTCCTCGAAAAGAGACGACAAAGATTAGTTGTACGGGAGTTACTTAACCAGGGGGTACTTCCACTAAATAACGTAAAACCGGTACCTTTACACTCGATTTTATTGCGCTTTCTACCGATCACCTCGATATAATTTCGGATGTCATTCAAAAAAATTTATATAAGGATGATGATAATGATAGCAAGAATCTTTACCACTACGAAGTACCCAGCCGATTCCAACTTCCTTCGAATTCCCTGCGAAATTCATGGATTTGTCAGAGTTGGAAGTTTTTAATCACAGCAATTCTTCAGCATCAAAATCATCGTGGAAAGAGTTCGCACTTTGGGCATGTTTTAAAATTGGTCCGAATTTTGTTCAACAGCTTCGTCGTTATTGCCGTCTCTTTTGGTCTCTAACCAATGTGTATATCAACACGTCGAAGCCCAAGATAAGGGAATAATATTCTATATCGCCGACGAAACAACGAAAGAGTTTATAAACGGGATCAATCTTGGAGGATACTATCACATTTCTGATTCACAGTGCTTTAAGAATTCCTTCAAAGAAACTATAGTCCTTGTTTCTCATTAGTGGAACCGGCGAACACACTTTCATGTTCTCCTTTCCTGGTAGACGCTTGCATCGTAACGTGGGACGAGAAAAAAAATGGTCTCGATGTATTACTAATAGGCGAAAAGATACAAAAGCAATACTATTCGACGAGCCGTTAAGGTTAGAAAACCCTAGAGCCGATGTCTTACTCAAGAAGAATAATATATACTTTCGCGATAAAAATAAGCACATCCCTAGTGTCAACGCACTCTTGATGCTCGACATTATGGGAACTCGTCATGTTTAAGCTAGTATATGCACCGAAATGTTCTATGAAGTTTTCCCAAAACTCGTTGCTTTAATTTTTGAACTAGTTACGTAGTATACGCAAACTTTTTTGTTAAAATAAAAACATAACCATAATGGTAATAGATCTCTTAATTTGATGATTCACTTTCATTGGATATGATATATACTTGTCTTTTTGTTTGTGGCGTGAACTTCGTTTTAAATTCTCGTGATTTGACGGCCTCGTTAGGTAGTTGCGGTAATGCTGCCTTTAAGTCATAGTTAAACGTCACTGGTTGCCTGTTCAGCAATGATCTGGTCCACATCCCACCCACACAAACTGTTTCACGTAAATAAGTTGTTAATCACAACACATTTTCTACGTTCACTTTTGCATCCACACTTAGAATATTGAATGATAATATTTCATCATAAATTGATTATATATTGACTCCAGCGTACTTAAACGAATGTTTGTCCCATTGACTAGTCCAATGTGCAGGCACATTTATTCACCTCTTCTTCTGTTGGGTAGTGTATCAAACTTAAAATTCGATTGAATTCATGTACTGCCTCTGCTACGATCACAACGTTATCTTTATGGACTTCAAAACCATCCTGTTCAAACTCTACTAAAAAAACACAAATTGCAAATAATCCTGGTTATTCACAACTGCAGCGCAGTCAGATCTTGATGAACCTTGACCTGCATTTCCAGAAATCAGATGCTGAAGCTCCCAAGGAATTTCGAATGATGGAGTGTAAACGTGACAGAAAGGATCTTTGCCCATAGTTCGACCTTTACATGACTTTCAGATGGATTGCTTCCAACACCACGGCACGGTGTATGTGAATATAAAACAACAGCCAAAACCACGGAAATTGTCGTCAAATCATCAATGTCATAATAGCTTTTTGAAATAGCCAACGGATAAACATAACAGGTGAAATCTCACTGGAATGAATTCTACCCTTATTTTTCAGTGATCGCAGTGCTGTAGCTATCGACAAAAGCTGGTTGTTGGAATGTCGTTCAAAAGCGGCAGATACGAATTTGAGTCCGATTTGTGACGTGGTGTAATTGTAAATCAGAAATCACCTTACAATAATTTTCTAGTGATGGGTGCCTTTTAAAATCAACTGCCATGTCATCACATTCTTCTATGTATATATTTTTTCTCTTAACACGATTTATGGGTTTGGTGTGCTTGTGTTGTCAAAGTCGTCATCTTTAGTATTACTTTGATCCCCCTGGTTTTTTCTCTTTCGGATAGATGACACAGGCACTTGATATGTTGTATCATCGTTATCACTAAGTTTATCAGATTCATAATCGTCGTTGTTCTCGTCCATACTCGGAAGAAATGAGTTCCAATGATAATTATTTTGATGCGATAATTGTGATGGCGGTTGTGATGATGTTGCACCCTTGTCGTCTGCTATTGTTTTCTCATTTCTCATTTTCTGTATAAT